TGGTTGACTGCTGTATCTAGTTTATGTTAATTAAGATAAGCTGTGTGGAATGTATATATACCCCTCCTGTCCTACAATAAAAGGCTCCCACTCCTGCTGTATCAATGTACACAAGTTGCTCGTCCCCCCCCCCCCCCCCCCCCCCCCCCTTATTTTGCTGCTGCTGGACTGCGGCAAGCTCCACCCCAACATCTTAAGCCAAATGGCTCTTTAATGTGGCCTACAACACTTCATAAAAGAGGTGCCCTAGAGCTATATCATCTGGAGTTTACTCTTTGATTCATCATTTACCAACTGTGTGACTTACAACAAATTTCAAAGTCTTCCATTAATATTTGAATTTTTTAAAAAATTGAACATTTTATATTATTTCCTGTATATAACATTTTGACATCTTAAAGAAATCATGATGGCTGGGGAGAGACTACCCAAGGCTGGCCAGGTGTGTCTTCAATATGTAAATTAACCAAGCAGAGCCGCACTGTAGAGGCAATGTTCCTTGGCCTCAATCATCCAAGGACCAGGAACAAGGCAACCAGAGAGCACTCCTACTCCACTGTTGTTCAAATTAGGAAATCCTAAACCTTTCTCCCTGCCCTGCCTTGCCTTTGGCTTAGAAGCCAACAAAGGCTCTGGCCTAAGGCTTTCCCCTCTATCTTGTCTTCTGACTCTGACACCCCCCCCATCCCCCCCACAGTGTTTTTTCCATTTGGCTGTGCGTTTTGAGCCAGGCCTGCCTTAATACACCTGTGAATATATTACACTTTGTTTTCTTGAGCCTGTTCCCTGTCTCCTCCTGTGGCTACATTTGATTAACTGTCTTATAAGAGAATACAAAAAAGGATGGTAGGAATAGCATTAAGTGGATTACTATGTACTTACACAGGACCTGGCACAAGGCATGTCCTCAAATGTCAACTGCTATCCCCAGTGATGGGTGGTAAACTCTTTATATCCATAGCCTGAACACTATAGTTTCTGGAACCAGGTAGAAACAGATGGTTATTTTGGGGAGACAGATTGGCCATTGAGAAATAAAAACACTGAAAAATATGACTTCTAGTCATGTTTTAGTGATATCTAACCAGATAACCAGGAAACAAAAGTACAACTTTTGTAGACCACTGAGTACTTTACTCATTTTATTTTCATAAAGACACACTGATGAATAGTTGTTCATCAACAATTTTTTTGGGAGGGATATCGATGTGTGATACACAGAACACAAGGAGTATGTTAGTACTACCAAATTCTGGTACTTGCAGGGAATGATAATTAGCAAACTGAGAAATACAGAAGAGATGAGAAACAATCAAGCCTTGTAAATTTTTCCCCTTCACAAACTGGTATAAAAATACTGAAAGTGAAAATATTACCAAAAATATATTTAGTGCTATTAGGTTGGCCAAGGAGAATGGAACACCTCAAGCTAGACAGAGAAGGTGTCTCTGTCTTTGTTTCCACATTGTCCTGCTAGCTAATCCAGTAGTTTATGGGAGGGTAGGAAAAAATGCAAAGGGAAAAGGAAGGAGAGGAATTAGACAGCAGGAGGCTCAGGCATTGCTAATGTTTGAGTGAGTTAAATTGTTTTCTCTACCAAAGGCATATAGTTTAGTGTTATTTTGTTCTAAGACTCTGAGGCTCAGGCACAGTCTGAGTCTGCTTTAGAGTCAAAGAGCCATTTAAAAAGCAGTCACTGAAGGGCTGGGGCTGGGCTCAGTGGTGCAGCGCCTGCCTCGCATGTGTGAGGTGCTGGTTTCAATCCTCAGCACCACATGAAAATAAATAAATGAAGATATTGAAAAAAACTAGACAATTAAAAAAACAAACAAACAAAAAGCAGTCAGAGGAAGGAAACACTTCAGGGACATGCTCCTGCCAGAGGTGGGTGAACTTAGAGGGGTAGGGAGAAAGAACCCCATTGTAAAATCAGTCAGGGGAGATGAGGAAGACCTGAGAGAGGAGGATTAGAGGAATTTGAGAAGGGAAATTTGCTAACAAGTCTTCCCCCAAAGAGCAAGCAGTTTTATGGCTGTTCATGGGAGCCCATAAACATGAAGAATAAACAAGTCTAGATATGACTCCCCTTCTCAAGTCTTTCTGATGGAATTGCCCACTGGGCAGCTTCGAAGGAAGAGAGGAAAGTTCTCATAGGGAAGGTGAGTCCTGGGTCTGCTTCTCTTGAGATGGAATGGTCACATGTGTCCTGGGAACTGTCTTTGTGTACTAGGTGGAGAGGTAAAAGAAGGTGGGCTGGCAGCTGCTGAAGATGGCACATTACTAGCTAGAGACCTCTAAACTCTCAGGGTCTCAATAATGGTCCTTTACTTCCTGCCACAGTCAGGGTATCTACGTGGCCAATTGACTAGAAAAGCAAGGATGGGGTGAACAGCTCTTCCTAGCACTCCCTGCATGTGTTGGGTATAATCTGGCTCAGAAAGGGGCAGAGAAAAGTGTGGTGAGCCGCTTCTGCCGCTTCTGCAGATTATGGTCACCATTACAAGATGACGCTGGCTCCGCTGTGGTCTGTGACAAACAACTTCTTATCTGGGAAAGTTGGCACATGATTTTTCACCACCCTGTGAGAAAGCTCCACGCGGCAGTTTTGCATTGGGGCTTGGGATGCTTTATTAAGGCTGGGAGGGGCATCAGAGAGAGAGAAGAAGAAATATCAAGGGCCTGAATAAACTGCTGAAAGAAGATTCCTGAGTTGCGTCTTCCTTGCGGGCAAGGGGTCGCGACAGAAAAGTTCTTCTGAATAACTGCTAAAATCTTGCATGCCATGCAGGTCAGCTGGCAGAAGAGCTCATGCTGAGGAACTCTGGGTTCTTAAAAATGCACGGTTATGGACTGAGTCAAAGATAATGCTGGGGCAGATTAGAATGCCTAGGTGGATAGCCATACTACCCCAAATTAGAAAAGTAGAGAATAGTGCTCAGGCAAGGGTGATTCCCTTAGTCAAGAAGCTCATACGATAAACTGTTAATCATACGGAATATAATAAAGCCACTACCAGGCAAGCACTATTAACCATAAATATATTCAAGTTGGCTCAGGAATATCAAACAGGCCACTTAGTTACTTTGTGGTTCCTCAAATATGGATGAATGAATGAACAGGCATCTCAGAGGTCTGATTTCAAGAAGACTCATACCAGAAGGAGGTGTACTCTGGGAAAGCAGACTGTAATCTCAGTGGAGGGCCTTCAGACTGCAGCCATTTTGATAGAATACATCTCCTGGATCTGTCACCAAGATGCAGGAGGCTCTTAACCTGGCAGCAGGCCTTGGCCCAAATACAGGCCTATGCCAAGTGGCAGTGATTCCCCTGCTTCCAACAAACAAAATGTACAGTGAACCCAGCTTAGCAATGCATTTCCCAGGGATTCAAGGCAAAGGCAGGGGAGGAGGTGGTAGTGACAGGACCAGGCAGGTCATGGAGATAATGGTACTAAAACATGGTTTTCTAGGCTTATTGTACAATCTGGAGGTGCCAGTCATGCAAGGCTACAAACGAATGTGTGTGTACCCAACATAACCCACACCAAGTAACCTCTTGAAATGCTGCTTCACATGCATGGGGACAAAGCATGAGGTGCTAGTCACCTAACAGGAGATGCCTATCGAAACACAGGTGGCTCTTTATTAGCCAGGAGCTGAATTTAGAGAAATTGGGCTTGGAAGCTGAGAGAAGCTTCTGAGTTTGTGTCAGCCTAGAGTCTGACATGATACTGAATATCCTCTTCTTTAATCTGAAGCAGAGGTGCAAAATTTAGAGGGGGCCAGAAGGTTGCCCAGAATGACAGACAACACTTCACAAACCAGGAATCTGTCCCTTTGCTTGCCAGAATTTGTTCTGTCTTCATTGTGGAGCATGTCCCAGGGTGCAGTAATACAGGTTCCTCCATTCCTTGTGGTGGAGAAGGGGAGAGTGCTCTCATAAGCTATGCATGTGAAAGTGCACAGATTTTTATCAAAAGCACTAAGGATTTAAGATGGTGAAAGAACTGTACCTGCAGGATTAGTGTGTCACTCACAATTTTGGACATGGCCACAGCCTTGGTTAGAGAATGTCAATGGTGCTGTGGACTACTTCTGGACCCATGCTATTAATCAATATATTGTTCACCACTATCAAAATGGCACCATCTTCAAAGGGGTAAAGTGCCCAGATGAAGGAAAAGAAATGCTACTTTCAAATACAAAAACAGAAATTCAAGGCTGCCTGCTTTCCTATGGACATGGAATCATTACCTTTGGAAACATAAATAAACCTGGCCAAGGACAAGGATACAGCAGTTCAGTTATTTTGGGAGTAGTTAATAGGCTCTAATGTAGTGTGGACACAGAGACTCCAGTCAAGGGAAAGAGAACTAGAGCATTTTCATAACTGGCTCTCATTTCTTATGTCAATTGCACAGTGGGAAATGGCAAGTCACAGTAGAGGTGGCTGGGAATCCCCACCAACCACTAGGTGGTTGGGATTATCATACTGGAAGCCCAGCAGACTTCTGACTGCTGTGTGTGGAACACAGCTGGAGGACAAAGGCTGCACAAGTAAATCCTCTTTTAATGGAGAGGGTTAGTGTCAAGCTGAGATCTGGAGGAAGAATTGTGGAACTCAAGAATTTTGATCAAACTTTGTCCCCTTGACTGAAATCCCGAGTTCTGAAAGTTGGATTTGGGTACACTACCCAGAATCATGGATATCGATTCTATTACTGATTCACAGTTGATTCTGTGATTCCAATCAACTAATTCAGTTGATTCTGACTCATACTGTGTAAGAGCTCAGATCATCTAGTTCCCAAGGGTGGTAGTAAGAAGTGACATGATTCCTTACCAGTTAGGAGTTAAGTTAGAAGAGGGTCATACCTTTCAGTTGAATTGGCTCAGGAGAATGCCAGTAAGAAGCTCATGGGCAGATAGATCTGGGAAATCTGGCAAAAGATGATGTGAAGTTGAAGGTGGGAAGCATAATTTAAATGATTTCCAGGCTGGTGAATGGATGACTTCACTTTATTTATACTGGCTGTCAGGAGTATGGGCAAGGAGAGAAAAAAAGAGCTCCATTAGAGGTGGCAACTCTCTTATACAGAATACTCCAGTAGAATGAAATGCTTATGGGTCACTTTCTATGGGTCACTATTTTGTTCTTTTAATTCTGGACCTTAATTTTTATAACTTCATAATCTTTTAACAAACTATAAATTTGATAATCTATTTTTATGTTGTTAACAAATCTCTATTTTGGTTCTGGTTCTTGATAATTCAGGTTAGTAAAAAATACTTCTGTTGCTAGGCTTGGTGGCCCATGCCTGTGATCCCAGCAGCTCAGGAGGCTGAGGAAGGAGAATAGCGAGTTCAAAGACAAACTCAGTAAAAGCCAGATAATAAGCAACCCAGTGAGACCCTGTCTCTAAATAAAATACAAAATAGGGCTGGGGATGTGGCTCAGCGGTCAAGTGTCCCTGAGTTCAATCCCCAGTACCAAAAACAACAACAACAACAAAAAAACCCCAAACTGCTATTAATTTGAGGCCAGTACTAAAGAGTGGAAGGGTGTTTGCAATATTATAGTCTCAAAACCCATGATATTGTGACGCTTGACTCTCGAGAAATACAATGACTATCCTGATTTAAGTTTTCATACTTATTCTCTAGAATGGATTATCTTATATTCAATAGTTAATTTACTGAGTCTCAAAACTCTTCCATATAAACTTAATTCATGTCACTTATCTCCAATATGATGTCTCTGATGTTGAATGAGATTTGCTGTTTGGTTGAAAGCCTTCCCACATTTATTACATTTGTAGGGTTTCTCTCCTGTGTGAATCCTCTGATGTTGAGTAAGGTGAGTGCTTCGGATAAAGGCTTTCCCACAGACTTTACATTTGTAAGGTTTTTCTCTTGTGTGAATTCTCTTATGTTGGGTAAGAGCAGAGTGGTCACTGAAGGCTTTCTCACATATGTTACACATGTAAGGTTTTTCCCCGGTGTGAATTCTCTGATGTTGGGCTAAGGCTGACTGGTCCCTGAAGGCTTTCTCACACAAGCCACATCTGTAAGGTTTCTCTCCAGTATGAATTTTCCGATGTCGTGCAAAAGACGAATTATCTCTGAAAGCTTTCCCACATTCACTACATTTATAAGGTTTCTCTCCAGTGTGAATTCTTTGATGTTCTGTAAGGGAAGAATTCACCCTAAAGGCCTTTCCACATTCATTACATTCAAAGGGTTTCTCTCCAGTGTGAATTCTCTGATGCTGAAGAAAACTTGTACTCTGATTGAAGGCTTTCCCACATTCGTTACACTTATAGGGTTTCTCACCACTATGAATATTCTGGTGTTTGGTAAGATGTGCCCTGCACACAAAGGCTTTTTCACAAATGTCACATTTGAAAGGTTTCTCTCCAGTATGTATTCTGTGATGGTGGGAAAGATGTATGTTTCGGATAAAAGCTTTTCCACATAAATTGCATTCAAAAGGTTTCTCTCCAGTATGGATTTTCTGATGGTAAGTAAGTGAGGAGCTCACTGAGAAGGCCTTGCCACATTCTTTACATTCATATGGTTTCTCACCAGTGTGAATTCTTTGGTGATGGATGAGGTGTGTACTCTGGTGAAAGGCTTTCCCACATTCTCTGCATTCATATCTTTTCTCTTTAATATGCATTTTCTGACTTGTGTTGAGCTTTTCACTATGAAGTTTCTGATGCTTGTTAAGGGTAGAACTCTTAGAGAAGACTTTCCCACACTTACTACATTCAAAGACTTTTTTACTTGGCTGAAATTCCTGGTCTTGAACAAGAGAGGAGCTCAGGGTGCTGCCCTTCCCAGATTCACTGCATTCCTGTTCACTAAACCCAGATGGGGAGTTCTGTTGAGTGAGGACCACTTGCTGCAAGCTGATCTCCTGACCTTCCTGACACTGCCATTCCAACAGGTTAGCATATTTCCAGTGACTTTCTCTGGTGAATCTTTCCTTTATTGTCCACTGACCTAATTCTTCTTTAGAAATATCTGCCTTGAGAGTAGTTTTCTTACTCATAGGCATTGTCATCCAGTCTGAAAGACATTAAAAACAAAAATGTCTGTTTTACCTGAGTTCCTCAAGATGGCATGGGATTATGAACCTGTTAATAATGCTTAACAAGGAGGATGTGGTGAAGCTTTTTTGAGAAATGACAATAAGAAAGGAAAGAGAAAGAGAAGTGAACACAGGACTGTGGTGGGGTTCATCAATACTTCATGTCTAAGGCAGGGGAGCTTGGGCTTCTTCCTGATCTCGGAGGTCATGGGCCTGGGGTAGAATCCAGAGTACCAATAATTATTTTCTTTGTGATCAGAGAAAAATTACCTGACTATAATATAGACCAGAATATTCTAACATATAAGAAAAAAAGAGTATCTTCTCTATTTTAGTACTATGGTCTTTAAGACAAAGATTTGGCCTAAGGAAACCACTGAAACTAGACAAAACTAGGAAAAAACATCAAGAACAATTCTAATACTCTCACATTTTACAGACTTATTACAGTACGTAGATGGACAATAAAAAGCTAAGCTGCCCTTCAGTTTTTTTTTTTTTGTGAAACATTTATATCTACTAATAAAATAAGGACCTACTACTGCTTGTGAGGAAGCAATGTCTTCTAACCCATATGATAATGTGAAATCAAATGAGGAAAATCTACCATGGTGATGTTTAAGAACAGAAAATTAAGAACAAAGCAGGATATCTGCAAGGCTATAGCCAGTATGTCTCGGAAGGAAAGTCTGTAAATCTGGGTTAAGAAATATTCATTAGAAAAAGGACTCTATTACAAAACAGTCCCATGAATTGTCTAACAAAATAACTCTTTTCCTCTGACACACTGCCCGCTGCCCCCCCCCACAAAAAAAAAAAAAAAAAAAAAGAAAAATTCTCATGTAACAACCTTCTTACACTTGGTTTCCTGGGTATCTTGTTATTGACAAGAGTTCTGGATTGTGTGCTATTTTTCCTTACATTTGTGAATGGCCACCTTTTAACTTAAGTCTGTTTAAGACTTTGTACTAAGAAACATAATGCTAAGGACAAGACACTAATTTTTCCAGGATAAAAGAAGAAAGTAAAAAAAAGATACTAATATGGATGATGCAAACAATCCTGGGAAATTCTATCCAGAACAAGCCTTTCTCATCTCCTCCTTTTCCAACTCCAGGAAATTTTACAAAGAAATACAATAATAATAGTAATTTTAAAAACCTTTAATTATCTGAAAAAGAAAGATGAACAGTCAGATAACAATGGTATCTGCAGGGAATTGATTCTAGGATTCCCCACAGATACCCATCCTTACAGATACCACAGAATGACTATATTGTCATTTAACTTTAATCATTCTTATTGTGAGCAAGCATATATTACTCTGAGTGGGAAATTTTAGCCTTATAATATATGTGTTTATCTTTCTAAAGGCCTACCAGAGAAGAAATTCTTTGAGGAAAAAAAACTACTAGGTATTGGGAATCACCTTCCTGTATTTTTCTTCTCTCCCACATCTTAATGCTTTGGGTGATATGCCTTCAGACAGATTTTTTTTTAATTCATATTTTCTAGTTGTCTTTTGCAGAAATTTGGTCTGCACAAGCTACTCTGTATTGGCCAGATGTGAAAATCCTTAATATTTTGAAGTTTGGCAATATAGTCAAGACTCCTCTGCATTTGCAGGTTACACATCTGTGGATTCAATGAACCATGGATTGTATACTATATAGTTAAGCTTATAAAAATGATTGCTTCTGTACTGAATATGTATAGATTTTTTCTTGCATTATTCCCTAAACAACAGAGTAAAACAACCATTTACATTGTATTAGGTAGTATAAGTAATCCAGAGATGATTTAAAGTTTATAAGAGGTTGCACATTTTATATAACCTATACACATTTTATCTAAGCAACTGAACCAAGAATTTGATTAATCCTTAAGCTTTCCAGGGTAAAAGAAGAAAGTTTAGTAGAAATTCAGAATTTTCTATAGTCTTTTGACATTGTGGATCCCAAAACTATAGTTTGGGACCATCCAAAGAGAAAAGTTTGTAGTAAACATGTGAATCCCTTCTAGAAGTAAGGAAAAACAAGAGACTGAAAAAGCTCTGTAAACACTGGAACTCAATCTCTAGCTATTATAGTGCTTGGCTAGATTAAAATGGTTTGTTTATACTCCAAAGCTGTACCAGAGGAAAAGGCAAATCTTCTTGGGAAGAAACAATATGCAGAGTTCCTATGTTCCTTCTCATCTAATGTCAGAGATTCAATTTAAAAACATTGAATGAGGATACAACAACAGATAAAAGAAAAAGAGATCGAATACCAGAGTTATCAGATATGCAGTTAAAAGTAACTGTGATTGATACATTTGAGAAAACATGTAAGATTAAAAACAAGTAAGATTAAAACAATTGGAACAAAAGAATCAACTGAAAATCCTAGAACTTATAAAGAATTGAAATTATGAACTCAATAGCTAGATTTAACATAAGCAGAAAATATCCATGTGCTAGGGTTTGAATATGTCCCCTAAAGCTCAAGTGTTAGAGATTTAACTCCCAAATTCATACATTGATGATATCTAGAGGTAGGCCTTTGAGAGAGAGGATCAGATGAGGTCATGATGGTGGCCACGCCCCTATGGAAGCAGTAGTTATTTTTATAAGAAATGGAGGAGAGACCTGGGCTAGCAGGCTTTGCTCTGTCTGCCTATATCAAGCCCTTCATGGAGTTATGATGCAGCATGAGACCCTTGTCAGATGCTCAGCAGATACCAGTACCCTGCTCTCAGACTTCCCAGCCTCCAGAACCATGAGCCAAATAAACCTTTATTCTTCATCAGCTACCCAATTGAAAACAGACTACAATACCATGGTAAAAGATGCAGAGAGACAGATGAGACAGTGTCAAATGAGTGAATATATATATGACTGGAATTGTGTAATGAGAGGAGATAAAGAATGTAGCAAAATGTTATTTGGAAAAAAAAAAGCTGCAAAATGAAATTTGAGTATTCTATTGTGGTAACACAAACCAGACAGACTAATATAGCCTCTAAATTAAGTAATACATTTCTAAACAACTGATACATCAAAAAAGAAATCATGATAAAAATTAGAAAACAACTGAACTTAATGATGATACAAATAAGAATTGGAACTTATAAGACACAGCTGAAGTCACATGTGGTAGGAAATACACATACACTGACTGTCAATCTCAAAAACATTTAGGAAAACAACAAATTAAACCTAACAAAGATGAAAAGAAATAAAGAAAACAAATTAATTAAAAACTTGATTGACCTCTATTAAGACAAATGAAGATAAGACATATTACCAATATTAAGAATGTTAAGGTGACATTGGGACAGATTCCACAGATATTTACAAGAGAATAAGAACACAATGAAAAAACTTCATGGTAATACATTTGATGACTTAGATAAAAGATTCAAACTCCTAGAAAAACATAATGTAATAAAACAGGTACAAAAAGAAAAAATCTAAATGATATTATATCTAATAAATACATAGGATCTTCATTTTAAAACTTCTTCATCAAGCAATTTCTAGGCAGAGATATTCACTAGTGAATTCTTCCAAATTTAATGAATGAAGAAATAACATCAGTTTTATATTTTCAATTGGTTTTATGAAACTGACACACACCAGATCTGATGAGGATATTATAAATGATAAATTCACAGAGTATTCTCTTTTATTAACATAGATGCAAAATTCCTAAATAAAATATTAGCAAAAGAAATATGGTGATATAAAAAGATAATATGTCACAAATAAACTGAAATTCAAGGTTGTTTTTGTATTGAATCACTCTTGTCATTCACATTAACAGAATAAAGCAGAAAAACCATACCATTATTTTAATAGATGCTGAAAAGACCTTTGACTCAATTCAATACCCAGTCATGATAAAAACTCATGGTAGTAGAACAGTAGTAGAACTCTTAATTTGATTGAGTTCTTATAAAAACTATATTAAACAACAGTTAATCATAAAATATTAAAAATATTCCCAAGACTGAGATAAAGTAAACATTTCTGTTTTCATTACTTCACTCAACATTGTACTAGAAGTCTAACAAGTTCAAGGTTAAAAAGGAAAAAAAGAAGAAAAGATTAGAAAGGAAGGAATAAAAATGTTATTTATCTGATGACATGACTGTGTTCATATAAAAACACAATATGGAATATTTCATGCACAATCTATTAGAATTAACAGGGAATACAAAAACCAATAGTGTACCTACACACCAGCTACAAATAATTGGAAAATGAAACTTTCAAAAGATATTAATAAATCCATCAAAACAACAAACACTTCTTATCAAAATCTTAGCAGGAATTTTTTAGACGATGAATAGCCAAATCTAAAATTCTAAGAGAAAAAAAAAAAAAAAGAACAAAACTGGAAAACTGACATTAGCAAGTATGACTCATTATAATGCTATAGTAACTAAAACAGTGTTCACTGGCACAAGAGTAGACAGAAGAAATGAAACAGGACAGACTAGAAATAAACTTGTACACAAACAGACCAAAGGGACAGATTATAGAACCCATGCTTGCAGCTGCACAAACATGACATGTACTTGCAGTCAACTTATGTCTGACAGAAATGACAATACAGAATAATGGGGAAACAAAGTCCTTTTCAGTAAATGATTCTGGGTCAACTGGATGCCTATCTAGAAAACAGTGAAAAATAAGTCTTTCATGTGAATTGTAGACCCAAATATGAAAGAAAAAATAATACAGCTGCTATAACATGTGTTTTCATGGCTTTAAGAGGTCTTAAGTAGGATATAAGGATTAACCATAGGAAGAAAAAGAATCCTAATAAATTAAACTATCTTAAAAATTCAAAACTTCTATTTATCATATGATGCCACTATTCACAGTGAGAAACAATATTTTTAATATATATATATATATGACAGAAGACTCAAAACCTGAATGTACAACCCTATAAATCAATAAGAAAAAAATTAACCAGTCAGCTAAAAT